TGAGAGTCTCTCATACGTAAATGGCTTTAATATCTAGAGTGATGATGGTGGTGTGACTCTCATTTCTGTAGAATTCAGCATATTATTTGTTATTCCAATGGAAGTATGTACAGAAAGCCTGGTGTCACAGATCAGTAAGTACACAGGGGGGAAATTATTTTCATATTGTTTTCATATAATTTTGCATGTTCTGTGATACCTGCCAGAGGGTTCCGACTTGATGGTACACAACAACAGCAAACACTAAAACCCAGCAAGCTCTCTGGGGTCAAGTTGAACTGCCTCGTAGAGTTTCCAAAGCCACACTCTTTCTGACAGCTGACAGCCACATTTTCCTTCTGTGGAGCAGCTGGTGCCTTCAGACTGCTGGCCTTTCAGTCAGCAGCCAAGTACTTAACCCAAAGGCCTCCTGAAACCCAGCAAGTGCAGTAATGATCCTGAAACTCTGAACAATGCACTTGTCATATTGTGTCGAATTCAAATCAGCTCATCCATCTTGCACTTGGAGGGATTTTGTGCTGTCAAGTTGCTTGCAACTCATAGCGACCCTATGTACAACAGCCCTAAACTCCGCTCTCTCCTGTCAATCGCACTGTCTCCAACACACCCATCCCGATTACCCCAGTCACTGAATCAATCCGCCTCATAGAGGGCCTTCCCCTCCTGCGCTGTCCCTCCACCCTCCCAAGCATGATGTCCCTCTCCAAGGACTGGTCTCTCCTCACAACATGACCAAAATGTAATGCATTAGTTGTTGAAAAATTCAAGTCTTCTAAATGCAGACACATTTCATTATACAATATCAGAAATACCAATACTGAAAACTCAGATCTGTTAATATCATTCCCCACTCTCGAGAGAAAAAGTCTTTAAATGTTGGAAAGCTGTCAAGCTCATAATGTCAGGTAGAAGTTTTCAAATACTTGAAACCTCAGGTTTTATCATTGGCATAAAGTTTATTGCCCGTTGTTTTCCCTACGCTGTTATTTCCATTTCCTTCAAAAAAGACCCTGTACCTGCTTCCTGGTATCATTTTCAGGGATGTAGGGTCACAATGAGTGGCCATTGCTGCAGTTGTCCTGTGTGTAAACTTAATTACTCCCTTCATTTTGGCAGTCTTGCACTCTCACCCTCCCTCTCAGTGCCTCCAGTCCTCATGGTAGTATCGTGTAGTAGCTTCTGGTTTGTGGTCTGCTTTGTTTCCTTGATTCCTTCGCCTTATTCTTTCCCATCATCCTGAAATATATTTGCATTTTCTCTCCTTGTCTGAAGAGGAGAAAACAGGACATGAGGGCACAAGGCCATGAGCATCTCTCTGAAAGGGCCAGAGCGAGTAAGAATAGTACAGCCTCTCACAGCCCCAGAGCAGAAAGCAGATTAAGAGCCCAAAGCCCAGCACCAGGGTGCGTCTAGAGTCACACCAACATCAGGAGGCTTGTCTCTTGTTGTTGACTCACTGTTGTGGTACTGAGAGTGCGGTTTATTAGGGAAGTAACTGGGAGAGGCAAAGAATATCTCACAAGACCAGTCCAGGTTGAGTCCAACAGTCTCAAAACACAGTTCCTCAGACCAGGCTCCTACTTAAGTTCAGCAGCCCAGATTTAAGAAGCTTCTGATTTCTTCAATCATCCCGCAGGATTTTCCTCAGAGTACTTGTAAGTCAACTTCTCATTCAAGCATCTGGCAAGAATAGCAAAAAACTTTAACTGTGGCCAGCACAAATGCAGAAAACCGCAAGTCATCCATGCCACAGTTTCTCCACAGGATTGCTACAGTCTCTCCAGTACTATCACCAGGGTCTCACCAACAAGGTCTGCGCCAGTCTCCCTCAAGTCTTGCTCTTCTAAAGTCTTGTTGCCCAGTATGAGAAGCACCCTTTTCCTTATCCTAGTCCCACAGCTGTTGGTGATTTTCAATACTTATGTGTGTGCCGATAAGGTAACTTAAATAGAACTTTGAGGAGACTGGGGTGGCTAACTATAGTGACTAAAAAAAAAAAAACACCCAGCTTTTAGGCTAACATCACACTCCTTCTCTTTCACTCTTCTATAGTTTTATTCATTGTCTCTACCATCATTACCTTAGGATACTTGGAAGGGCATGAGGTGAATTCATTTGTGAAGGGTATAATTTTCTGAGATGTATCTTGTTTCTGCTATTACCACCAGTCATCAGAGTGACCATTTTCATGGCCACCTAAGTATCATTAGAAACATTTTTGCCACCTTAGTATATGTAAGATCTTTTAAAGTATAATCTTGGGTAGATAGAGCTGGCATTTTTCCTTTTAAGTGTGTTATGTTGATTTCTATGAATTAGTTCATATTTATGGTAAAAATCCTAGATTTTTTTTACACAGTATTTGTAGGCTCTTAAAGCAGTATAGGAGCCCTGGGTGGCACAAAGGTTAGGCACACAGCTACTACATGCGCGGTTGACAGTTTGAACCACCAGAAATACATTTGTAAAAGGCCTGGAGATGTGCTCTCAAATGGTCGCAGCTTTGAGCCCAATTCTACCCTGCGACCCATCGAGTCAATCTGAGCTGGCATTGGTTCAAGATTAGCACGCAGGGTTTGATTTTTAACACACTGTAGACACTAGTTTCTTACCATTTTTGTCACACATATCTTCACATTGCATATATCCTTTCATTATGTCTATTTTGTAAGTTATACTTACATATTTTAGTTTCTGTGATTTCTAAACTTAAAGTCATTTAAAGTACTAAATGTCCACCTTTAGGTAGTTTCCTTTCTGTAGAATATTTATGAAAGGGACTCTGGCTGCAGGGTGGTTAATTGCTCAGTGACTGACCAGAAGTTTGGGGGGGGGTGTGTACACACACACACACACACACACACACACACACACACACAGAGGCCATGGTCTTTCAGAAAGCTGTACAGTGACTAGGGATGATAGAAGGAGAATGGATGCCTTTGAGTTGTGGTGCTGGAGAATTGTCCTTTGAGTTGTGGTGCTGGAGAATAGTATTGATTGTGCCATGGACTGCTAGGAGAACAAACATTCATCCTGGAGACGGTGAAGCCAGGCTGCTCCTTGGAGGCAAGGATTCTGAAGCCTCATCTGATGTACTTTGGACATATCACAAGGTGGAACCAATCCTTGGAGAGTTACATCGTGCTTGGGATGGTGGAGGGACAGTGCAGGAGAGGAAGACCCTCAGTGAGATGAATTGACTCAGTGATTGGGGTAATGGGGTTAGGTTTATCAGAGACAGTGAGATTGGCACAGGATAGAGCAGGTTTTAGGGCTGGTGTACACAGGGTCACTATGAGTCGCAAGTGACTTGGCAGCACATGATACTAACAAGAGCAATATTGAAAGCCAAGAAAATGTCTCTGTGATTTTGTTGTGGGTTTTTTTTTATTTTATACTAATTTATTTACAAAATTCTAATACATTATTTTCAAAATCAGATTCTTTGAATTTCCCTCACCGCCACCCATCAAATTGTACAACCCCATGATTAAACCTCCCCTCCTCCCCCCCGCACATCCTCATCCCTCTGCTCCCACCCTCTCCCACCCCTCTTTCATCCTTATACTCATTCTAAAATACTGGTTTTATACCATATTTATCCTTGTGGGACTGAGTTAGTTCACTCTGTGTAATGATCTCCAGCCCCTGCAGGGTATTCCATTGTGTGAATGTCCCATAATTTCTGAGTCTGTTTGTTTGTGGTTGGACATTTGGGCTGTTTCCATATTGTGGTGATGGTGAATAATGCTGCTATGACCATTGGTGTACAAATTTCAGGTTGTACCTCAGTTCTCATTTTCTCAGGGTGTGTTCCAAGTAGTGGAATAGCTGAGTCACATGTAATTTCTATGTTCAGCTTTTTGAGGAAGCACCAAACTGCCATTTTACAATCCCACCAACAATGTATAAGAATTCCTTTCTCACCACATCTTCTCTAACATTTATTTCTTGTGGCCCTGTTAAACTTCACCACTCTTTCTCAAGTGAGATGGTACCTCATTGTGGATTTGATTTATGTTTCTTTTGTTGCCAGTGATTTGGAGCATTTCTTCATGTGTTTGTTTGCCATTCAGATATCTTCCTCTGTGAAAATTCTTTCCATGTTTTTTGCCCATTTTGTAGTTGGGTTATCAATCTTTTTCTTGTGGAGGCCCGGAAGTATTCTGAAACTTGTTATAAGATTCTTGCCTGAGATGGTATTACCAAATATTTGTTCCCAGTCTGTAGGTTTTATTTTCACCCTGTTGGCATCGCCATCCAGATACCAACTTTGTTTTCAAGGAGATTGAAAGGGAAATGATCAAATTTATTTGGAGAGACAAGAGAACCCGACTAAGCAAAACACTTCTGAGAAACAAAAATGGAGTTGGAGGCATGGCACTCACTGACCTCAAAACCTACTACAAAGCAGTAGTAACCAAAACAGCATGGTACTGGTACAATGACAGGTACATAGACCAATAGAACAGAATTGAGAACCCAGAAATAGACCCAGCTATCTATGGTCAACTGATACTCTGAAAGGAAATTAAAGCTATCAAATGGGGAAATGATAACCTCTTCAACAAATGGTGCTGGCAAAAACTGGACTTCTCCTTACAGAAAGCTGAAACAGGATCCACATCTCACACCATATACAAAAAAAAATGCACTCAAGGTGGATCACAGACCTGGGATTAAAGCCCAAAACCATAACATTCATAAGAGACACACTGGGATCAAGCTTAGAAGCGCCAGTCCAAGGTATAAAGAGACTGCCAAATACAACCAGAAATGTACAATCTAAAGAGGATAAAATTTATGCATGAGACCTTCTAAAGATTAAATCCTTGTGTGCATCAAAAGCTGTCTCTGTGTTTTAATTGTCTTCTTAGAATACTTAGGAGAAGGAATGAAGTTTGGTGTTTTGAACTCAGCATTTTCTGTTTGATCAAATGTCTTCATAGACTAAAAGTCAGGTAATGCTAACGTCAAAATATTTTTATATCTTCCAGATTATTGTACAGTTGTAACAATTGTGGACCAGACAAATGTAAAGTTAACCTGCATGCTTTTTAGCGGAAATTATGAAGCCCTTCCAATAATTTATAAAAATGGAGACATCGTTCGATTTCACAGACTGAAGGTATAATTCCTGCTGTCTAAAACATGCATTGTTTGAAGAGAACTCTGTGTTATTCACTAAAGCTAGCTAGCACTAATTATATGTTTGCTTTGTTATAACATGACACCAGACTTCTCAGGAGATAAGAAAGATGAATAATATCACACTTCACATAATTTCCAGACAGAAACCTCTGCATTTGAACCAACTTCCTGTCCTTCCTTCCCCACGAGTTTATTAATTGCCTTGATTCAGGCTCCGTTCTGCCTCTGCTTCTCCTGAGGACAGAGTGATGCTTGCAAAGTTTTCCAGCAAGAATGTGATAAAGAGCATCTGGTTTAAAACCAAAAATCTCTAAGACAATAACAATAAATTGTGAGAAGAATGAGATACCATATCATTATTTCTTCTTTGTGCTAGTTCAAATCTAGTGTAAGTATTGAGACATACTTTTCTTTGACATAGGGCTAAATGTCAAAGTAAACTGATCTGAATTTATGATAAAGATGTTAAAATATGACCAGGTACTTTCAAAATGATAGTCATTAAATAAGAGGAAACCATTAACATAAAAATAGAGATATTAAATACTATATATTCCAGTAAGAATTTTACTTGAGAATGTAATTTTTATAATTTCAGTTCCTTAGAAGAAGCATTTTTGTTTCTTCATGTTGTACAGAAAACCTCATTGTCTTGATTGTGCTTCTTTTTTTAAATTATTTTATTTTATTTTATTATTTTGTGTGTGTACTGTCAAATCGAATCTGACTGGTACAGGAGGAGATTGCCCCTCCTTTTCCAGTAGAGCACCTGGTGGATTCGAACCACACACCTCTGGGATTCAGTGCAGCTTCTTTCCATTAGGCCAACAGAGCTCACCTTGATTGTGCTTCTAATGTTTCCGTTTATCTCTGTCTATCCTGGTCAAGGTGATGCTCATAAATGAGTATGGTATTCCGGATTTTGAGGAAAGATCACTCCGCATGCCTTAATAGTATCATTCTCCTGAGTATAGAAGGGTAATAGACTATTTAAATGAAGATAAAAAAAGAAAAATGTCTGTTAAAAGGGTGTGGCCATAAGCATCACAAACCCGAATCCCATGGGGCGTGTCTGACCTCTTGGGAATCTGTTTCCCCTTCTGAAATCAGTCAGTGGGGGTAACACAGCTCCCCGCCACTGGCCACACTTGTTGACGGTATTCATTAATAATACTTGAGTTTGTCTTCTCGAGCCGCCCATTGGAATCTTGTCTGGCTTTTTTACTTCATCATTTCTTCCGTTCACTCTGGCTACTCTGCGTTCAAGAATAAGTTGCAATCTTTTCTGAAAGTCATTATGGTCTTCCTTCCTTCCTTCCTTCCTTCCTTCCTTCCTTCCTTCCTTCCTTCCTTCCTTCCTTCCTTCCTTCCCTCCCTTTTTATTTATAACAAGAAGACT